AAATTCTGCACAAATTTTCAAAAAAAGTCCAAATTCTGCAATCTTTTAAAACGATGAAAATTGACGTAGCAACGGAAACGGAAGTCAGCTACTTTCTAGGTAAGAACTGCGCGTCATTAGCGAACTCGCTTTAGCGAATTTAAACGTGATAGAATGTTGAATTTCACGGTGAAATCGTACTTGTACTCAATAATGATTGATTGTTGGACATTAACAGACACTCTTCAAATACCCCGCAAAGGTAGGAGATCGTAAAATATGTAATTTCTGGAAATTCTGGTAATTCCGCGGGATTTTCATGAAAATCAGGGATTCTGCAAAAAACTGAAGTTTTGTCAAATTCCGTCCACGCCGCGGAATTACGGAATACTAGTATCTATGTATAACATATCTTTACTATTGCTTTTATGATATATTGTTATATACCAAATTGTTTGAAAATGTATTACCTTGACAATGATACATAAGTCAATGTTCCATATTGAACGTAACTATTTTTTGGTCCACCCTGTATATCAGATTGATAATTAAATCTATCACTTGTCTCATAAGCCCAGTATAGTAAGGGCAAGTTATTTTGTACAATAGGTTACACTGTAATAAAATAAATATGTGTATCTCATACTTAAGTGGGTTTGGGGTAGATATCACTCGGGAATATATATCATATCTGAGGAGCGGGCAGGATATATTGTATATGTCCCGCTCCAGGCCAAATGCGGGCAGATATAATATATCCATCCCGCTCCCGGGAATTTTTCAAAAGTTTAAATAAGTTTAAATATCAAAAGTTTTAATTTTTTAATTTTAAAATTTAAATTTTTTAAGTTTAAATGTTACAATTTCATTGTATTGAACAAAAAGAATATTACGAAAATGTTAAATATAGATATCTTGTCATTTGAAAAAGAGGGAAAAGGTTATATCTACCCTAAACCCACTCAAGTATGAGATACACCAGTTATGCACGGTCGGTTTGGATACATAGAATATCCCTTGGGATATACAATACATCTTCCCTCGGTCCCTTCGGTCCCTCGGGAAAATATATTGTATATCCCTCGGGATATTCCCTGTATCCAAAACCTCCCAGTGCATAACCCCTATATATGTAATGAAAATAACATTAATGTATATGGGATATAACATTTTGTTTAAAGAAATGCAGAAACTTTATAAATATGATAAATAAGAATGGGAAACTATTTTTTAAGCTTTATGATAATATGACATAACTAGATATAAGTGGCTGATATATACATGATATAAACCTGATTTCATTAACATAGATTTCATTTGCCAAGCATTTGTCAAACATATATTCTGATTTATAGATCTGATATAATATGCATTTTGATTAAAGTCAGTTTTCCTGCTTGCAACATAAGAAAGACATATATAATTCTATTAATACAAGAATATATTAAAGCAGGATACGAATGTTACATCGGAACAACATTATTATAGCTTTGTGTTTCCTTTCTCGATAATGCAACTCCCTTGTTCAATCTTCGATTATATTTACTTCCAGTCACTTTAATGAAGATGCATTGGTTAATCTTGCCAGTTCAAGTTCAATATTCTAGCAGCGTATCTCTCTAAGATGCTGTTTATTAGGGCATGTGGCATGGTTATTGCAGCTTGAACTAGAAAGTTATATCCTCCCTAAGGACACGATGTTCCACTCTATTGGTGCATTAAAGTAATGCCAAGCCCAAGTATTGCTCGCCAGTTATTAGATCTTGATACACATATTTGGGCTTCTGGTTGTTGAAGCTGTGTTCAAACCTTGAAAATGTAAAGCAATATGTGAAACCAGTCGTCTATATTTATATTAACAGGGATTTCAAATTTGCTAGCAACTCCTATTTAGATATCAGTTATTTTGTCTTTTCCATTGGTTTACCTCCTTTTTATAGCCCATATCCCTTAGTGGTGCAACTCGAACAGTGGAATGCCAGTACTCGCCACTCACTCGTTGAACCTGTCCAAGATAGTTACTCGAGTACGTTTTTTCAAACTCGAGTAGGCATGTTTTATTATGAAGTGTTTTAAACCCCGGGAATGATCATTTTTGGATGCACTGAACGAAACAAAGTATTGATTCCAGAAACAAAATGAAAATATTTAAAAACAAACAAACAAACACAATTATGGCATGAATAACTACATTTATTCTCACTAAATTGATACAAACTACATATAACATCAATAACATATAGAAGAAACGAAGAAATTGTATCTATTTGGTCTTCAAACAGTCGACTAGGTGAGTTTTTTTTTTTTTTAAATTTTTCCCTCATTTTTGCGAGTGGTACTCGATTACAGTGGCATTTTCACACTTTCTACTCGAGTAGCATTTTTCTTGCGAGTTGCACCACTAATGTCCCTCTCTAAGGGTAGAGTCAGAGATAGGAAGCATATTTTTTAAAAAAGAAGGGTTTGATGCAAGACTACATGTTTATAAAAAATCCATTAAATTATATCGAGAGGTGTCAGTATTATAGTTTCCCCAATGTTAAAAGGATGTGAAAATATTGAAATTTGGCTTGTACCATGCCTAATACGTTTTTTACATTGTCATATTTCTTCTTAATCTCTTGACTTCCCAGAGTGACGAGATTTCTTGTCAACTTTGAAGTGACCTTGAAACCTTGAGTGACGAAAATATTTTTCACTAAAATTGCTCTAATTTGGACAATTTCATCCAATTTACACCAAAAATGTTTTAAAATGTGTAGAAATGATCGCTGCCAAATAATTTAACTAAATTGAGCATCACCTGTTGTTAATATATGTAGTAAAATGTAAAAGGCTGGCAAAAATGAAAAAAAATCAAACCAATTTTAGAACCTGGGATTCAAGAGGTTAATGGGTACGTGTTTGGGGATGAGGTTGGGGTATCAAAATCAATGATTTGTTTTTATTACTGTACGTGTAATTTCTCAAAAGCAAATTTCTCATGACTATTGTTTCTTTTAAATGTCGCACCTGATACACTTAATGGTATAAACTGTGACACTATTGTGTGATAAAATATTTCAACCAAAAAACTAAAGAAATATACAAATCAAACTCTGACAGTAAGTACTACCTTATGAATTTTTCATATTTCAAGCACACTTATGAATAAAGTATTGAATGCCTCGTATATTACATTTGCATTGATTTAATGTCATTCAACTACATAAATTCAATTTCAATGTTGTATTGTGTTGCATTAAGCCCCCCCCCCTTGACTCTTTCTCCCTCATTATCCTATGCTTGTTATAGATAGTGGCGGCCGCTGTATAGCCCATAATTCGATCAACAATTTCATGACTTTCTGTCATGTAGTGCATTTAATTTGGTAGTATTTAATTAAATGTATCTTGATTGACCCTTTCCTGATGCTGTAAGATTGAGCCATTCCAAAAGATTCTGATGTTACACTAATTTGTCACTTTAGATGGGGCCTTTAAAAGGTGAGTCACAAGAAAACACGGATTTCCCACAAATAATAGTAATGTCTTTCATAAAATGAACCAAGACAGTTTGGTTTGCTAGTCACATCCTAATTTGCAGTGTTTACATTATACCAAAACTTCATGTCTTTTAGCAAGTGAATTCACATTTGACATTGAGTAAATAATAACCTATGTTATATTTTCAGGTACATTGCTTTGAGTCTTCTTCATGTTTATAAACATGTATTGGGTCATGCACATGACATCTGTCCTAAAGCTGCGTTGTTAAAAAATCTTGTTCCATGACAGATTCTCAAACAACCCTTGTTTTATCATGGCTATTTAAATACCATACTCTGTGTAGTATGCCAAACTAATCTAATGTCAATGCCAGACTCTGATATTAGTACTACTTAAAGTCATACAGACCTGCACACTTTGAATTTTTTCTTTTTCAGATTTTATTTTATAATTTAACTAAAAAATAGAATAACAAATAGGGTGCACATTTCCAGGTTTACTGTACATGTACATATTATGTTACGTAAAATGTTCAAACTTATCAGATATGCAGGAAGTACCTACATTTGTAATCTGATTCATTTCCTACTCAAGCACATCTTCCCCAATTGCCACTATTTTTATGACTCTATCTTCAATGTGTTGAATAAACTGGTTCTACCTTTATATTTCCTCTTATCCAAGCACTTCAGTTTTGAAAACATTTCAGTAAAATTTATTAGAACATCTTTAAGAGACCAGATCGATATTTGGATGTTATCCCAATTTTATGTTATTAATCATATTTTAGATTGATGGAGTTCGTTTACCCTGAAATATAATTGCACATTGATTGATTTTTTCATATTAAAAGTACCCTGGGAAAATCACCCTGAAGCCAAAGTACTATAGATGAGGCTCTCTTTTAAGAAGAGAAATTGAACTTTTGAATAGGGTAAAATGAAATGACATTGTGGGATCTACAGCCTTCACTATATCCTTTGGAATACATATAAGTGTTGAGTAAAGGCTCTGATAAATCAGAATAGTAAAAGGGAATTAATACAAGCATGTCAGTAAAAGATATATATAATCTATAGAAGAACTGGTTCAAGAGCAGTCCGTTGGAGTGTTTTCAAATCTACATCCCTCTGTTATCTATTTGATTTCTTGTTTCTCAGATTTCTAGATCAAGCTAACCCATCTCCAACTTCCAAGGTGGTACATATATGAATTTGGAGCAAATGTGAAAAAGATGAAGCTCATCTGGAATTCATATATCTGAAAGATTATGTTAAAGTATATCATTTAGCAAAAACCTTCCTATATAAATGTAATATCTGATTTTTATGTCGCCGCTAGTTGTGGTGACATATTCTTATAGTCTCCAACTTTTATGGACAGTGTTTGGTGGTTGGTATTTGGTGGTCAGTGTTTGGTGGTCAGCATCTGTAACAAATGACAGGTGGTGACATTTTGCATGTTAATGCCTTGTTTGTCCTGTTCTAATCACCCATCCTGGATATTACCTTCAGATATTGTCTTTGCTTTCAGGTCAACCTCCCCTAGAATTTACCTCAACATTTAAAGATGTAATTACTGAAAGGAATAAGGTGCTAGCTCTGCCATGTTCAGCTGTAACTCAAGCAGAGTTTCAACCCATAACGTATACATGGCGTAAAGATGGCGCACCCATAAATGGCGACGCACGGTGTAACATCTCAGCTGATGGGACTCTGAATATTAAACGGGTGAAAAACTCTCAAAAAGTAACAGATAATGGAGTATATGATTGTCTGGCCACAGATACTTTCGGCACAATCCAAAGTCCGAAATTTCAGGTCACCGTTTCAGGTAAGAGAGTTATTTCATTTTCACCGCATTTTAGTATATGTACTCTATTATTGTCCTATTGATTTCGATCTTTTTCTTATATATTTGTAAGGTTTGGTGACATTCCTATTTCTTGAACTCTGAGAAGCGGGATGGGCACTTATTAGAGGGCTGGCCTTTATTTCAGAGAATATGGTACAACTAGCCTCAGGGTAAAGATGATGAAAGCTTCAGAGCATATGTTGATATATGATATAGATTTTATGATGGTTTTATTGGAGGTTATACTAATAACCATTGCTTTCCCAGGGGCTTATATATTAGGTAGAGGACTGTTATCTCCATCTATAGGTCCTTTAAATCAAATATGTCTGCCCTAGCATTAATTATTAAATAACCAGATTAAGTCAAGGTAAGCTGATTTAATTATCATTCACCTGGTTTTATTGAAGGACTATTTGTCTTTCAAACCAAACACGTCTCTCAAGCTTTATGAATTAACCTTAAATAACTGGTTTAAGTCAAGGTCAACCTCATTTGTAAATTTGCTAAATGATTAAGTGAAGAAAGTGTCAAAATTTGAAATTTCATGTCATTTAGAATTTAATTTTTGGGAGGAAGAACGCTGTAATTTCTTAAAATAAAAGGCCATATGAAGAGGCATATCTAACAATTTGTCTTTGAAGAAATTTTTTTATTATGCCTTCTAGGGACTGTTACATTAATATACACTTTAGTGCTCTGAGGTATGTTAATGACATCTCCATATGATAACAAAATGGCATTTATGTTTCTTTTATTGCTCATTTGTGGCCTACATGACATGATGACATATATGTACTGCTACCCTTTGCATTTGTTCGACTACGCTTCTTAAAAGAGAGCTTCGTCTTCACTGTTTCAAACTGTTTACAATAAATCTGTGAACTCACTGAGCCAATCAGAGTTCATTGTCGAAATACTGACAACTTTCTATATATGTTCATTTCCTCTGAAGTAATCGTAATGAGGACATATTTAGCGCATGTCCATCCATCCACCCAGGCTGTCACGGGTTTCAGTCATGGGGACGGGACTGCTAAACTGTAATTTAGTCTATACTAGGTAGAGGATAGTTAATAACTAGACTGCATACAGGGTAATGTACTGAAAGATATCTCCTCTGATCACTGTTATTTTTTATCTTTGTTAATCCAGACTGTTAATCCAGAATTCCAAAAATTAAATGATAATGGACTTATCTATTTTAGAAATATTTTGCTGTTATGTTGATCTAATTCTCATTCAGCGGCACAAAAAAACAATTAAACAGACTGTTAGTGATATATGTAATATTAATGTCTCACTAGAACTTGTTTTTGTGAACAAAGTATACCACAGTTATGCCACCTAAAAGCAACTAGAAGATAGCAATGGATATAAATAGATACTAGCTATAAACCTCCAAGAGCCAAAAAGGTTGGGATGACAAAGTAAAAAGCATAAGTAACTTCAGTTTAGTAGTCTCAGAATGTACAAATGAAGCTAATTTATTACCCAAACTATTCACTCTTCAGGTTGTTGAACTTGATGTGCAAGAAGAAATTAGAATAACAACCTCATAGAGCTCGAGACTCTAGGTCAAATAAGCCATTAACTTACCCTGAAACACAAAGCCAAGCACAGTAAAACTTGTGCAAGTACTGTAGAACACCTTTTTAAGTGTTCTACTTGTGAGGTGTTCTACTTAAGGCCTCATGATACTTAACAGGAAATGACAAAACAGAAAGTGACAAAACCATGATGGATTTTTTTTAACTAAGAGTAGAGGTGTCAAGTATTAACCGGTTAACCGGTTAACCGCCGATAATGCCTTGACTGGTCTGAGTTTTTATGGGCGGTTAGTTGACCGTGTATAATTCTGTTATTTCTCGCGCTTATTTTGCATGCTAATCTGTTTGGTTTTATGGTGTCAGTTTCACGTAAGCTACTCATACATGTCATAAGTCCCATAACTCCTTACAAACATCCAATCAGCAACTTTAATCCCTGCCACATTGTTTTCCCGCGCTTACTTTGCATTTTAATCTGTTTGTTTTTCAAGCGTCAGTTTCATGTGAGCTACTCATGATAGGTCCGATAATTCCTTACAAACATCCAATCAGCAACTTTAATCCCTGCCACATTGCTTTCCCGCGCTTTCTTACATAGAATAGCGTAAATAGCTTGACGAACGTAAAAAATAAACGCCGATATATCATTTTTCCAATTTTTTCAACTTTCAAGATGAAGATTTCATTTGAAATTATCAGTTCAAATTTCCCGCCGGTTAACCGACTTTAACCGGTAAAAAACCCCGGTTAACCGGTTAATGCTCAAGCGGTTAATTGACACCACTAACTAAGAGTACAGAGTTATTATGTTTTGACCCCCAGTCAGTTTAACTTGTTCCACATATCATTTACATGACCAGGATCACAATTTACTTGGTCAGAATGACCCTAAACATGATGAAATAACTTTTTCAGTTCTCTGAAAATGTGACTGAAAAAATAGCTAAAAGTAGGAGCTTAGGAAAGGTCACTGAACAGAATCTTTTGAATTTTTAGAAAATTTGCCCAATATATTGTTCTAAATTATACAATCTTTGAGATTTTAGAAAATTGTCTAAAACAAAAATGGTGGTCATAAAAAGTACCATGGCACCTTAATGAGGTTCACTTTACAGAAATTTAGGCCTTTAACCTTTACCATGCTGCCTTATTTCAGCAAATATATCCCACGCAACTGGCTTATTTTTCAAAGAGTGCAAAAAATGATATGCCTGGACTAAATAATTAATATCTCAATAACTACTGAATGAATCTGGATAAAATTTTCACAAAGGGAAGATACAGTGGCCTGGCTCATGAAAAAAATGTTCTCATGAATTTTTTCGTACATTAACACGACTGGGCATAAATATACCATGAATACTCCTCCGGAATCCACCGCTCCGCCTCTTCGTCTGGTCAGAATCCAAATCTGAATTTGCAGCGATCGAATGTTCAATTTTTCAATTCAGAAAATATTCTAGTTTCTATTTTTGATGACCGTTATTGGCTTCCAAGAGCCTAAAGAGCTCGAAATCGTAATCCATTTCCTCCACATTTTCGTTGTGATCGTATTTGTCCACCATTTTGTACGATTCGTTCACTAAAATTGACTAAAACACTGTTTAAATTGTTGAATTGAGAATTATTTTTCGAAATATCGCCATTTCTAGGTCAACAGGAAGTCATGTTAGGCACTGAATAAATCGGGCAATCTAATTGGACAATACGAATGGCGCGAAAAAGTACAGTTTTTATGTCCCCACACCACATAGTGTGGGGCCATATTGTCGGCCTAGGCGCGTCCGTCCGTCCGTCTGTCCGTCCGTCCGTCCGTCTGTCCGTCCGTACGTCCGGCAGTTTTCTCAAAAACCGCTACAGATATCACCTTCAAATTTTCAGGGATAACTTATGAGTGCATACAGATGTGGACGAAAAAATTTTAACTTAATACCTACTTCCTGTCGGCCATTTTGAAGTCAAATGCTAAAATCCTTGTCTGCAAACTTTAAGAAAAACTGCTTCACAGTTGCTTTTAAAACTTTAACATCTTGTTCAGCTCACTTCATTCTAGATCTGATTAGGTTTTGGACCTGCTAGCTCAGTCATGTCAGCCATTTTGAATGTCTTAAGAAAAGTTAGCGTGAGAATACTTTGTATCATATTGAATGGTGTTTTTGAGTTTTCATACTTTAACTATTTAGTAGCTTTATAAATAATTTCAGATGTACTTTGCTGTAAAAGCCTACTTTATTGTTAACAGTAGTTATATGTGATAATTTTGTAAAAAGAAATCAGCAAAAACTCATAAGGACTTTTTTATTGTCGGCCATTTTGGATTTTTCGGTCCTAAAATCTTGTCTGTGAAGTCTTGTCTGCGCGTTTTCAGGTGAACTGTTTGGTGGATCAATTTCAAATTTTCAGGGATGATTCTTAGTATAAAAATCTAGATCTCATTAGTTTTTTGGCATTCTGGGTAAATGTCAAGGCAGCCATTTTGGATTTTCCATCCTAAAATCTTGTCTGTAAAGTCTTGTCTACTCGTTTTCAGGTGAACTGTTTGGTAGATCAATTTCAAATTTTCAGGAATGATTCTTAGTATGAAAATCTAGAACTGATTAGTTTTTTTGCATTCTGGGTAAATGTCAAGGCAGCCATTTTGGATTTTCCGTCTTAAAATCTTGCCTGTAAAGTCTTGTCTACGCGTTTTAAGGTGAACGGTTTGATAGATCAATTTCAAATTTTCAGGGATGATTCTTTGTATGAAAATCTACATCTGATTACTTTTTTTGCATTCTGCGTAAATGTTAAGGCAGCCATTTTGGATTTTCTGTCCTAAAATCTTGTCTGTAAAGTCTTGTCTACCCGTTTTCAGGTGAACCGTTTGGTAGATCAATTTCATATTTTCAGGGATGATTCTTAGTATGAAAATCTACAAACAGATTAGTTTTTTGACATTCTTGGTAAATGTCAAGGCAGTCATTTTGGATTTTCCATCCTGAAATCTTGTCTGTAAAGTCTTGTTTACATGTTTTCTGGTTAACTGTGTGACGGATCAATTTCAAATTTTCAGCGGTGGTTCTCAAAATCTAGAACTGACTAAATTTTTGGCATTCTGGGTAAATTTTAAGGTGGCCACTTTGGATTTTCCGTCCTCAAATTGTGTTGGTAAAGTCTTGTCTACTCATTTTCAGGATAACCATTTCACGGGATCACCACTTGGTGGGGACATTTTGTACACATTTGTGTTCTTGTTAAAAGTTTGAAATCGGGCGTACAGGTCCGCCGGCAGTTGTGAGAGACATTTTAGTCTCGGCGGACGCGTCCGCCGGCAGCACGCTAAAGGTTAAGTTAATAGGTAGCTTGACTTAACCCTGCACTCAGAGTCTAGTTATATAAACTACCCTCTGTCGAGTTTAGACTTTCACTGTTTAGCTGCCCTGTGACCAGTGCCTGTGACACCCTGGGCCATAAATCATTTCAAACCTAACACACTGACCTGTTCTTAGGGAATATATTAGAATGTGTCTTACCATAATGTACAAAATTCAATTCAATTCAATTCAAGACAGCCGATGCAAAATTAAGTCATTACATTATTACATTAGGTGATAGGAGGGGGGGGGGGGCAAGGGCCTACTTTTGTTTGCTTTTGAAAATATATTTGAACAAAAGATACTTGTAATAAAAGTTACATGTTAGGCACTTTGCATTGTAAAATATTACAATTATTCGGATATTAGTCCCTTATGTTAAAAGGACATTTTGATCACAGATCGTTCTATCATTCTGATACTCCTAGCTCTTTCACTTTGTCCAAAAGGGCAGAGATATAGAGAAGGCTTGGCTTACCACATCGTGAGTCAACCCAAAATATGATTTAACTTACTTTTTTGTTGTTTTTATACACAATCCCCTATACAGCTAAAATATATCAAAATAGACTTATCTCTTGACAGATGTATGGGATCCTATTTAAAAGTAGAATTTTACAGACATGTATCCTGGAACTCTGTCCAGATAATGCCTTTTGGGAAATTAGATATTTTGAAAAATAGTGGTTAATTATGTAATTCATCATTTGTTTCAAAGTAATTTCCATATTCCAGATCGAAAATTATCAAATTGATCTATCAGTCTTGTAATGAATTTGTGGTTTTCCCAATACACTATTGGAGGCCTAACTGGGCATAGTTCCAATGTAAAATGTAACATTTAGATGCGTTAATTAACTCTAGAATTGGATTACAACTGCATGATAAAGTGTTATACACTCCTTCAATATACTTTGTAATGTTTCGTAAGGCCATTTGATGACAATATTGATAGCTACATAAGCAGTCTTCCCGTGTTCTTTGTCAAGTTTGGTAAGGCCGTGTGGTGCCATCATTGCTAGCTATATCAACTGTATCGGCTCTATAAAGAGAAGTCTCCCAGTCAGGTTATATCCCTTCCCGTGTCATTAACATGATATTCTACCCAAATGAGTTAACGCTATTGCTACCATACTCCTCACCAATGCAGGACAATTCCTCCCACCCTGACACCAGAGGTCTACCAATTACTCACTGGAGGTTTTGGTCCTTCAACCTAAGCCTGCTTGGTATTTATTCATATATTTGCAATGCAATAACTGATAACTGTGCCCTCTTTGTTCTGATCAATTCAAATGACAGATAAGATGGGGTTTGTTTTTTATTGATCACTAGATTTTATTTCTAATATCTAATCAAGTACAGGTCATACATTAGGGACCCAATCACCATTGATATTATAGATGTCCCTCAATATAGCATTTTCTAATTGTTGTCAAGGTTATTTAATGATATGATAAAATATTCTAAAAAGAAAGAATTATCTGTATTTTAATTGGAGAGTTGGGGGCCGGGGTCTGGTAAACCAAATGATATTTTTGTTTTATCTGAAGCCCCAAGTCCCTCAAATAAAGGTACATTTACATGTCATTACATTGATTAACCTCTTGAATGCCAGCCTCTAGAAAGGGTTTGAAACCAGAGCATTTTTCATTTTGTGCTAGTTTTCTGGATATTTACATCAAGAAACATAATGTTTGAGATTTGATTTCATAAGAATAGTAAACATAGACCCATTACATACATTCTAAAACATAATTTGCGAAGATTGGATAAAAATTGCCAAAGTTAGAGCAGTTTTAGTGAAAAATTCTTTGACAGATATATCTGTCGCTCTGGGTTCCAAATGGATTTTATTTGTGACAGATATATCCGTCATTCTGGGTATTCAAGAGGTTAATAATCATCCTGGTAAAGGTACCATCATTCCCCACACCAAAGGACCAGGTTTAGTATGGCAAGTGATTTTAGATAGTCATATCTTTCACCATGAGCACAAAAATGTATTACTTTTTGATAACTAAGTTTGATAAATAACTAAAGAGGAATATACATGTACTATATAATAGTCAGTACTGTAACAAATGATGACATCTTGTTATAGTCTCCAATTTTTTTGTGGATGGTGTTCGGCTGTCAGTAACAAATTCTTCCAACTTCCAATAACCATTTACAGGTAGCGGCATCTTGTCATGGTAATGTCGTAATGTCTTGTGTTTACACTGCATCATATTACTTTTTAGGCCATGGCTTTGTGAAGGCTGTTGTCAGGCTGTAACCCATCAAAGATATCAATCATTTGAAAAAACCAATTGCCAGATGGAACTTGGAGTTGTTCATTTAGCTTTTAATGCGAATTTAAAGATGATGACTCGGAAAATTAATCCTGCTGGCCTTATTCCCCAAATTATCTTTATGTCCTTTTGTCAAAGTATCCTTATGTCCTTATGTCAAAGTATCCTTATGTCCTTATGTCAAAGTATCCTTATGTCCTTATGTCAAAGTATCCTTATGTCCTTATGTCAAAGTATCCTTATGTCCTTATGTCAAAGTATCCTTATGTCCTTATGTCAAAGTATCCTTATGTCCTTATGTCAAAGTATCCTTATGTCCTTATGTCAAAGTATCCTTATGCCCTTCATGTAACAATCCTTTGTTATAGACGAAAATCAAAAAATTTCTCTATATGGCCAGCAGGATTAATTACAGACCACTTAAGAAAAGGGGGTCATATCAAACATTGACTAGTTTTATGCATTAACTTTGTGGTTTGCACCTATAAACTTTACATCAGAGAAATAAGTGACTGAACTATGCTCAGTGAAATTTTGGTGCATCTTATAGGAAACATAAAAGTCTTGTGTTCAATTAAAAAATGTTCCAATTTTTTTTGGACCACCCTGTAATATACATGTAAACCCATTGTAGATTATAAATCATTTTTTCGAATTCTTGTTTTGCTGGTGAGTCCTTTTGTGTCAGAAATATATAGAATGTTGTCTCTTCTTGCGTTTTTATGTCACCACCAAAAAATGGTGACATATTGTAACTGGTCTTCATTTTTATGTCACCACCATAAAGTGGTGATATATTGTAACTGGTCTCAGTTTTTTGTGGCGACAGTTGGCAATTTGGCAATTGGTGGTTGGCAATCGGCGGTTGTCGATTGGCGGTTGGTGTCTGTAACAAACGGTGGTGACATTTTCCATGTTTATGCCTTGTTAATGTTTGATTTTTTTGAATGATTTATTTATTTATCTAACCTAATATGGCTCTTGGCCTCGGGGCTTGCTCTATATGTGCCTTGTATTATGCAGACAAATTAGTCATGGAAAAATAAGGTTAGGGCTGACAGAAATAGAGCATTTACCTGGGAATTTTCTTACTATATTTGTAAACTAGGACAGTGTATCTGAGTGGATCTGACTTGAAGAATTTTGCATAATCTATGATATTTAGATTTTTTAATTATCGATACTAATGTCATATATTTTTATTTATTCTGAACCAAATGTATATATTTTTGAGAGTGTATATTACATTTATTCCCTAACCTTTTTCTGAGAATAATATATTGCTACCATATGGGAATAATAGCCTCTTTAAAGTGTCTGTAACACTGTAAAATACATAGATCCAAACTGGTAGGAAAAATATTGTTTGATATGAAATCTGATATGTGTGATAACTTATTAAGTAGTTCTGTTGTTTTGGAATTGTGTCAAATCTGAATACATTCTTTGCAAGAGCTCAATGTCATTTGCACTCTTTAGATTAAAAATAATTCCATAATCTAGATCTGTTTAAAGGCAGAATCAGATCTATAGGGGTGGCAAAGTTGCAAGCAACATGTACATTTGGTCTACCAATCTATTCCTTATAATCTTAAATATGTATCTCCCAGAAGATCCAGCTTTGAATTCGCCAAATACTTTGTTATATTGAATGAAACTTCTGAATGTCACAGTTATTCCCCAGAAATAGAATGAAATATTTGTTTTATTATTCACCTTTATGTTTCCCATTTTGTTACATGATATTCATATTGACTATATTCACAGTCATGTATAAAACATGTCATATATAAATCATGTCATGTATAAATCATGTCATGTATAAATCATGTCATATATAAATCATGTCATGTATAAATCATGTCATATATAAATCGTGTCATGTATAAATCATGTCATATATAAATAGGCGTCATTCTGGAGTAGATATTAAAAACATTGAATGTAGGAGTATGCCTTCTTCAAAACGAGGCTCACCCATCAACCAATGAACAGTAAGCATCAAATAGAAATATCACAGGATATTTATACCATGTGAAAGTGATATGATAAGATTTTTGTTGTTGTAAGTATAGCAATTTCAGATTCAATATCCTATAAAAGTTCATGGAATCTTCATTTGAGACTCTTAAGATCTTGAAAGCATTACATCTTGTCAAGTACATGCAATAGTCAGAGTATACGGCCAGCGATGGCTAATTCTGGGTAGTCTGATTATTGAAATGACGCAGTAGTATTTTATATGTTACTTTCCACTGATATCTTGGCATTCTTCCACCAATAAAGAAAGATGTTCACAAATTTAGAAAGATGTTCACAAATTTATTCTGCTCTATGTTTGCATATCTTATTAGAATAAATTAGATTGAAAAAGCAAATTGGCCATTTATTCACCAGATATCTTACAGAATTAAGTTTAGAAAAATTATAAAAACATGAGGGCATTTCTGCCAGTTTGAGAATTTTGCATTCTGTTGAAAGAAAACGCTGAGAATTATTATCTAGGAAAGTTGTAATTTCAAGTCGAGTAATGCAGATTAATGTCCAAGTGGGACACACAACTTATTGATCCTTCCACCCTGATAAATGGCATTTGAAAAACAAGAATATAGTCCAATTATTGTAAGTATATTAGCATCACCAGTGGTTGAATTTTGGTAAGTACATGAATGAAAAAGTTTATGTATGGACCAACTCTAACACTTGATTTGATGCGATTGAGGTGCATTTTCTTTTAGAAATTTGACCTTTTTGACCTGCCTCCATCTGTCAAAATCAGAGTGACAATTTTTGACATTTTCTATATATGGCATATTCAACAGGTGAGATCTTTTGATTTTTGTGGGGAGTTTTGGTTCAAACTTTTCTGACTGACAGAGGACATACTGGGGTATGATGGCATGATAGCAAAACATGTCTACAAATCGTAGAATACGCATGTTATAGCATTTGGTTATGTAAGGCCTAGGGTCATCTTTGAGACGCTATATATGAGTTGCATCATCCATTATTTTTATGTTGTGCTTTTAGCTGGCAATTGCATTACAGAACCCTCAGTAAATGAGTTATCAGGCTGTTGACTTTTCTTTTAATAAGTTTGAATACAGGTTATTAAAGTGAGTCAGGATCACCCTGTATACTAACCTTCCTTTCAATGAATATTTCTGTTCATGAATGTTGCAGTTCATAATTGTTGCGATGCCTCAGTCAGATTTGACCTACGGCAACCGTATGGCAGCCGTAGCTTCCCAAAATCGAGAGAAATATGCAGCATGAAATATAGAGAAGTATGATGTAGATTTTTTCTATATCGACTTTGTGAAGCTACGGCCACCGTACACCGGCTATACAGTAAATGTGATTGAAGTAAGAGTGATTATGATTTAAAATTGACAAGAGGTACTCTTCTTTTGAAATTGTCAGCTCATTAACCTTTTTCAAGTGCTATAATTTATGGACAAGGTCCAGGTTAAAGACGAAATTGAGCCCTTTTAAGTTGTCCAGTTCTACCAACCTCATAACCTAAAAACCTTTACCTCAATATAGCAAAGGGTAGTTTGACTTATACTTTAGGAAGGAATAAAATCAATGAATTTACAGTTTGTTATTATTCCCCTTCGCGAGAGTAATTCACTTTGTCTTTTGCGACATAGCCAAGATCTAAAATTAAGCAAGGCTTTGGACCGAGGGAGGTATAATATTACTATATTTGGATTTATTTCCACAACGGTTTTTCGGCTGCAATTGAGACAAAAAACTAGTAATTGTTACAACCTATAGTATTCTCAAATCTTGTTTTCTTGTGTCTTAAGTCATTGATCCCTACATTGGAACAGCTGTAGGGAAGTCTGGATGTCTCTGTATGGAGAGATGTTAGATATCATTCAAACTTTTAATTGAAATGGAAAGAAAGCCCATACATTATTTTCCTTCTGTAATCTATTAATTCTGTACTTCATGGCAGAATTCAATTTTGAAATATGTTGATATTTGAAAAAGTCATGTAAAAGGTAAATCAACATTTCAAAGTTCATTCATTATATGGGAGAAAGCCAGTTAAAGCATAAGGAAAGTAACTGTGTTCTTGACAACTGTTGACATTTGGGCACCATTCCTTAACCATGTAAGGTAAAGGAGTTGTTTCAGAGGAACATGAACAAGGGTGATGAAGAAGAATAAAGGCACAAGTTAAAGTACAGTGAAACTTGTTAAGTGGAACAGGAATACATCTACAAGCGGAACACACCTGTTAGTTGAACACTACAGAGTCCCAAGACCATCTGGCTTAATGTTAAATGAACCTCTATAAGTGGAACATCTCCCAAGTGGAACACTTTTCAGAGTCCAAAGTTCAACTGACTTTATGTTAAAAGAACTTCGATAAGTAGAACACCTCCCAAGTGGAACAGTTTAGAGGTACCAAAGGTGTTCTACTGAGACAGGTTTTACTTTTTAAAAAGGTACCTTGACCTCACACTCCAATGTTAGTAAGTTGTTGAGAGATACATAGCTCCTAACAGCTACTGTAATATAACATACAGTATTTCTGTTGCATATTTTTCTTAACACATGTAATTGAAAAGGGTATCATATTGTCAACAGATTGTCACAGTAATTTTGAAATGGAATCAGTTTTAGAAGCTTATATCTTTTAAAATATATGAATTTATTCGAATAATCATCGGCAAATTGTTCCCAATAATCAAATCTGAAAATTTGGGCAAGTCCTACCTCTTGCTACCTCACATAGTCTTGTCTGTGAATTTCCAAGCTTCTAGATGTATTGATTTTAAATTTTAAAAGATATTCATGGTATCTTTTTGGGCATATTGAATAAATCACACTGCCTAATTTTAGGTACAATATTGTTCACTCCGTGCCATGTTGTGTAATAATATTCATGATATTTAAACATGATTTTTTCATTACATATCCATATGCTTCATATGGCATACCATCAAAGGAACTACATGCTGTTTGTTATTCGCAAGAGTTAAGTTTTTTTGCTTTGTTCTGAGAGATCTGTGAATGAAACAATAACTGAAAGTCTGAAACAATAACTTACTTGAGATTCATTACACACATCATATTGATCGATAATCATTGGTAATAGATGTTGCGCAATGTATTCACTAACAGCTGTGGTATGGTT